TAGCGTAGTGACAATCTTGTCAATTCGCAATTCGCAGCTTGGTCTCTTGCCCATCTTAATCCACGCCACCACTGGAATCATCTGCCTCTGCTTTACCTGTTATCGTGGCTTATTTTTTGGCCGGATTGTAACCACGTTGGGATGGCAATCCTTTGCCCGATGCCGGAGCCCGCATTGTATAGATATCCCACCTGTAACCAGCATCGTGCACTTCTTTTTGTACCTCGCTAACCCACATCTCGGGTTCTCCCTGCAACGCCCGTGTGCGCCATTGTCTCCGTAACCCGTGCGCTTTTCTTGCCTTAGCTGAATTGCACCCTGGGATGCTTGCCCCCTGTTTAACCTCGGGCTGAGCTGTGTGGTTTCTATTCCCTGTGCCGATATGTTGATGACTGTGCACCCCTGTAACCCGTGTGTTGGATTTCTATCCCCTGTAGCCCGTCCTATGTGCATGACTGGCAGCCCTGTAACCCTGGCTGTGCGCTGTGGTGTGGGTTTTCTATCCCCTGTAGCACGTACCTGTTGATGACTTGGCACCCTGTTAACCCGTGTGTGCAGTTTCTATTCCCCTGATACCGTATGTTGATGACTGGACCTCGTAACCCGTGTGTGGCTTTCTATCCCCTGTATACCGTATGTTGATGACTGGGCACCCTGGCTAACCCGTGTGTGGTTATCTATCCCCTGTATACCGTACTTGAATTTGACTGGGCACCGCTGTAACACCGTTGTGTGGTTTCATCCCCTTGATATACCGGGTTTTTATATTTTTTTTGTTGGGGTGTGACTGCGCCCACCCTGTAACCCGGTGTTGTGGTTTCTTACCCCATTCTAAACTCGCGGTTGCGTTACCCCACGGCCTTCTGATAACCCCGGTTGTGACCGCGCTTTCTCTTTTGCTCTTTCTGGTGGAGAGGCACCATGTAACCTGCCAGTCGTCTCTTGCTCCCCCATTCTGTCAACACCATGTAACCCGTGGGCGTCTCTTTGCTCCTCCCCCTCCGCTTTAACACCATCTAAGTTGTATTGTAACTGCCGGGGCGTCTCTTGCTCCTCCCCCCCCCCCGTACAGTAACTCATGTAACCTGCCGGCGTTCTCTGCGCGCCATTCCCCTCTCCTCAGTAACCCCGCTGTAACCCGCCGGGCGTCTCTTGCGGCTCCCCCTCCCTCTGTAAACCCCATATACTCGCCGGCATCTTCTTGCTCCCCCCCCTCTCCTCAGTAACCCCGTGTAACCGCGGCGTCTCTTGCGCCTCCCCCCTCCCCTCATGATAACCCCATATAACTCCGCGGCATACTCTGTTGACCTCCCCCCGCCCCTTCCTCAGCTCAACCCAGTGTAACCGCGGCATCTCTTTGCTCTCCCCCTTCCCCCCTCTTGTAAACCCTTGTTGTAACGGCCTGCTGCGCATTCTCTTGCTTTTCCTCCTCCCCCCTCGTTGTAACCCTCTGTAACGGGCCTGCGCCTGCATCTCTTGCTCCCTCTCCCTCTGTAAACCCCTTTGTGTAAAACGGCGCTGCAGCGCATCTCTTCCTTCCCCCCTCCCCCCTCTGTAACCCCGTGTTAACGGGCCTGCGGTGGCCTTGGTCTTGCAGGGTACCCGCTGCGATGCGTCTGCTGCTGCTGAGAATCGCTGCAGCGTCGCGCAGCACGCCGCATCATTGGGTGCGGGTTGATCTGCGTGGTGCCTCGGTGGATGGAAGAAGGTGCTCGGCGGACAAGCTGGCTGCGTGAAGCCCGTCCGACGACGAACGCTCGGGCGCTGCTGCCGGCCGCCAGGAGTTCTTCCGACGCAACGATACATCATCCGGGTAGGCGGGCCTCCTGCGTGCGATCGAGGGGGCGGGGACATGCGCCGACATCAGGATTGGCGTGATCGTGCGGCTGTGCTGCGTAAGTATAAAGCAGATATTTCTAGTGGCGATGGAAAGTCCGGGCGCAGTTATTTAGGTTTTAACTGCGAATTTTTTTCGTGCTGGTATTCAGGACTGTTATTGCTCGCGTCAGCACCCACATCGCTTTGAGGGGTGGGGTTGGTAGAAGATATAAAGGGAATATATTTCCAGTCCATTAGGAAAGTCGGGGGTATTAGGACTGTGTATTGCTTTCGGTCAGCAACATCGGCTGCTGCGTCGCGTGCGGTTGGTTAGAAGTAATAATGAGTGAGATATTCAGGCATAAGATAAGCCGGGTGTAATAGTGACTGTTTATTGCTTTGGTCAGACACCTATCGATGGCCTGGGAATGTCCGGAAAAGTCCTGCCGCGAAGTCTGGAAAGTCTTGGAAAGTTTGCGGGGGGTGGTATTAGACTGCGTCGTTATTGCTTGTGGTGTAGCCACCATTGATTGCTGGAATGTCCGAAACCAGGGTTTGGAAGTCCCGGTAAAAGTCCTGGAAAGTCCGCGGGGTCCCGGTATTATGACTGTTATTTGTGTTGGTTCCGCACGCTGGTTTGGGGCATTCTGAAGGACATATTTCCAGGCACTGGAGCAGTCCGCCGGATATTAGGTTGTTAGTTGTTGTCGCCACCGCCTCGTCCGCCGACGCGACCACTGAGCGCGCCCGCAACAACGGCCGACGCGACATGCAGGCTCTTTGTGTGCGAGTCGCGACAGCTCTGTGTTGACAGTAACGCGCGACAGCTCTGGCGTGCTGGACGACGCGATGCGCTGACTTGCCGTTCACAGAATTACAGCTCGTTGGAAATGTTTACAATATTATATCGTTGCATGCGCTATAGCGCCGGGTTCCTGGAACTGAGTTACGGATAGAGCAACAGTTATAAGTGCAATGAGCATTATTAAACCCGCGACCCTGGCCAAGCAGACTGGGTTGTTGTTGCGGACGATACGTATTCGCTGTTGCTCGCTTCGTTGATGTATTTGCTGGATGTTGTTTTTCCCTTCTGCCTTCTGTCTGCTTGACAGCGCGTTGTCAACTTTAATCTTGTATTTCTTAACAGTTCCCGGCTTCTCGTAACTTTGAACCGGTTGGTGCAAGTTTTATCTCTTGAGACGGTAAACATTGCTGCTGTCAGGGGGTCACGCCGGCGACTGCTGTCCCCGCAGCGCATCTGCGTAGCAATTCTGCTACGTTGCTCCTGCAGACAATCTGTAATTTTAGGACACGGGCGTCAGGCGCGGGGGGTAGGAGACGGCGATTGTTTTGGTCGTTCGCGGGGTCTGCAGAGGAGGACTGTAGTAGGCTAAAAGTGGTCCATAAAGCCGTACTCTTCGATGCATCATCGGTTCAAGCAACCGGTCCATCCATCCTTTCATCACCCCTCCTTCACATCCATCCATTCATCCATTCGCATCCCATCCATCCATGCCATCCATCCTTCCATCCACTCCATTATCATCCTATCCCCATCCATCATCCATTCACATCCATCCATTCATGGGCACTCCATGATCCATGCAGTCCATCCATCCATCTATCCAGGCATTCTCCCATTTACTATCGGTTTCTTTTTCACAACTGCTAGTGTGTGCGTGCGTGAGTTCGTGTGCGTGAGTACATGTGCTTGCGTGTGTGTGCGTGCGAGGGCGCGCGAGCGGGCGCTCGATTGTGTATGTGGCGTGTTTGCCAGTACAAAGCCGTGCCTGTCTGTGAAATTCTGCAAGGAAAAAAATCCGACAATTTTCTGTGTGATTCATGCGCCTAGATATTTACAGGGCGCACGCACGCGCGCGCGGCACTGTCAGTGAAAAGAGTCACCGCACACGCGACAAAGACCCGAGCCAACGGCATTAATCAAAGCGCACCGGGTGCAAAATACATCGGACACGACTGCATGCAGCGGTTAACCGTTAACGGCGGATGGTTAACGGTTAACGGTTAACGGAGGCTGGTTAACGGTTAACGGCGCCTGGTTAACGGCAGCTGGTTAATGGTTAACGGTGGCTGGTTAACGATTAACGGTGCCTGGTTAACGGTTAATGGCGGCTGGTTAACGGTTAACGGTGGCTGGTTAACGGTTAATGGCGGCTGGTTAACGGTTAACGGTTAATGGCGCCTGGTTAACGGTTAAAGGCGGCTGGTTAACAATTAACGGCGGCTGGTTAACGGTGCCTGGTTAACGGTTAACGGCGCCTGGTTAACGGTTAACGGCTATACTCTTTTATTGTCAGCTTCGTGAAAAATTTTTCTCGCACAAGACGGGGTCGTTCTAACAGTGTTTCCCGCAGCCAATCAGATCACAAGTAAAATAGTTCCGAAATCAATGCGCTGCTGGCTTGCACCATTAGGATATCTATTACTGTATAGATATAAATATTTATATGTGTGTCTATAGGGAGTACAAATATACTCTCTCGCTAGTACGCATATACAGCAATAACACATTTGTACTGGCCAAAAACATGTCGTTGGAAAAACATAAATATATAGAACTACATGGCGACGCACCACGTGACTAATGTTTACGCGGCTGAAACAATAACTTCGTGTCTCGGTAGCACAGACTGTGCATTTCTGAGCTATTGCGGCGAGTAGCTAACATATTATATGTTCAAACTTATCAAACATTGTGTTGCACGCGAATATTGCAACATTAAGAGTAAATCTGAAATCTTAAAATCTGAATCTGAAATCTGAAATCTACTGAGTACACTTACCGTGACGACCGCTATGAATGACATGAGAGAGTATTGCGTGGAATGCTATCGATCTCTTACTGCGCATGAGAAGCCCCCCTCACTCAAATTTAACAAAGACCTTTTCTCGTCCCGCTGGACTATATATGGGATCCGACCGACGATTGCTGTATGCAGTTACTCATAGAATTTCAGGCTTTCAGGGGGTTATACATTGTATCGGATACACCTATGATAAAATAATACAGATAATAAGACACAAGCACATATACGAACAGATAAAACCCAGAGGTTAAGAAAGCCTCAACCTCAAACGGGGACCTACCGACTATATTTCATGATTATATTGATTATATCAGGAGTAGATAATAGAAAATCTTCTATTATCTACTCCTGATTATATTTATATCTACTATTTACTTGTCTATTTGGGGCATGTGTAAGCCGGCTGCATTATTTTAATTAGCGGATATTTCCCGGTTCTCAGATTTGTTTAATAAGTGACAATGTTGCAACAGTGGTCAGGTTGAGCCAATTCACATTGAATCAGCAGCCATGCTGGATTAGCGGTCATGCTGGATTAGCGGTCATGTTGGATTAGCGGTCATGTTGGATTAGCGGTCATGCTGGATCAGTGGCCATGTTGGTTCAGCAGCCATGCTGAATCTGCGGCTAGGATGGATCAGCCATGACCAGGCACTCATTAAAGCTGTGTGTTGACGGTGGGAAACAATGGCTTCTTTTCTCATCACTCGGGCACACTGACTAATTAAAACTCTTCATCAAGCTCCGGCAGGACTTCGAGGTGGCCCAGAGGTACATTAGTTAGGTGAAAAATCTTTTCTGTAAACATGCTGTGTACTTGCATGGTTCATGGAGCGTGTCGGCTTACTCACATGGTCGAACTGTCGCTGTATGTGCGTGCGTGCGTGCGTGCGTGCGTGCGTGCGTGCGTGTATGGGGTTGGGTCTCTGCGCGTGTAGAGTCCGTAGGTGCATACGTGTGTCTGTATCTGGGTTTGTTGTCTGTGACTCTGTGTATGGGTTTGTTCCTATATGTCTGTCTGTCTCTGTATCTCTACCCAGGTATGTGCCTGGGTCTGTGTCTGTGCATGTGCGTGCACTGCAGTGCGTATGTGCGTGCGTGCGTGTGTGCGTGCGTGCGTAGGCTGGGCGGCGACGCGCAACACCGGCTCACCGCTTATGCCGCTCTGACCAACCGATTCTTACAGCACTGCTTCAAGTATCGAGTTTTTACTACACACATAGACACCCACGCACCGCACGCACACATGCACGCACCAGCGCACGCACACACACACACGCACATACACACACATACGCACGCACACACATACGAATTCACACGAATGCGCACACCCACACACACGCATGCACGCACGCACGCACACACACACACATAGACACACACACACACACACACACACACACAC